TGGTCCTGAACAAGGGGATCTCCCTCCACTCTCAACTACTGACAGCTTGGGAGGGGACACACTTTGCAAGGTGAGCCTGGTCTGTGCCTATCAGCTGCTCGAAGCATCTGGGGGCCTTTGTCCCATGTCTGCTGCTGAGGTTCCCCGTGAGACTTTGCTTCGGGCTGCACTGTGCACAGCAGCTCACCTTCTTCCCTGGCAGTTCACTGGCTCTAATGAGAGATGGGGTGGTAGAGGAGGTTGGCAGGTACTGCGGGAAATTGTCTTCAAGGCTGTGACAGAGACCCTGATGGGGAGGAGGTGCTGCTTTCTTGACCCCATTAAGCTACAGTGCTTGTGGCTTTCTCTGCCATGTCCCTGGGGCATGACAAACTTGTTGAGGGATGATCCTCCAAAAGACCAGAGGTCCTCAAAGGGAAGAAGAAGGACTGCTTATGGCAAGATGAGGAGGAACATCCAGAAACCAGCAGAGACAATTCATCTCCACGGGAGGATTGGCAGTGTTAATGCTTTCAGCAGTGGGGCAGAGCATCCCATCCCATTCCATTCCAGGGCTCTGCCTCCCAAAAGACATGGAGGCGACTGGAGACAGGACAAAAGCATGCAGTGGAGAGCAGCTTTCCTCTGGCTTTGTCAGCCAGTCCTAGAGATTAGAGGCAGAAGAGGATTTTAAACCAAACCAAGTGTTCACACTGCACTTGGCTTTCCTGGACATATTTGCACTCTGTGCTCTTTGCAGGAGAGCAGCCAGAGCTGCAGGAAGGCTCTGCAAAATGCTGAGGGATGGTGCATGTGGGAGGGTGAGATGCAATACCTTTCAGCTGATAAATTTTGCCCTTGTAGGTTGGTAAAAATGTTATCTGAACTGACAGCAAAGTCAACTTCTCTCAGCACCTGGCCACTTGCATTGCTAAGAGCAGAGTTTGGCTCCAATAGCACCTTGGCACAGTACCGTGCCATAAAATACACTCCCTGGGCTGGATGGGCACCTGGGTTCCCTTGGAAAGGCTGTCTGAACCTGTGGTGGTCCCTCTTTCTCTTCCTTCGTTAACCCTCATCCTCATGCATCCACCTGCGATGCCCCAGAACATGCTTTTCTCTCCATGCAGAGGTTTTGAAACAAACCTAGCAGACCTGGCAGCCTCAGTGCAAACATCACTGCTTGCCACCCCACTGCGGTCCTGGCAGCACTCCCCACCACATGGCTACCTGCCCTCCTCCCTGTTCCTGAGGCAGATGCCTTACCCATGGCTGCTACTGAAAATGAGGTGCGAACTGGGATGCAGTGACCCAAGAGTTCAGGGTCCAGCACCAGGCTGGGAAACTCATTCCTCTGAGGGCCGCAAGGGCAAATCACAAGTCCCATAGCACCGTGCATGCACCATGTCTTGCTATGGAGCAGCCCATACCGATGCTGGTGCAGGGAAGTTGTACAACCTAACACCCCTCAGCATGCCTTGCCAGAGAAGTAAAGGATGCAGCAGTTTGGCTAAGGGTGCCCTCGCTGCACCAGTGAGCCAGCAGCACCAGGAAGATGCTAAAGCCTGAAGACATCAACACAAAATGGGAAATTCCTGCAGCCATTTTTGTGCAAGTCCCCCAGATCATGTGCAGCCCCGCAGAGCTGCTGGTCTCCTGGAGGTCTCCTCAGCCCCACTGCAGTGCAGCCCAGGCCCCACTGGTGTAACATGCTCAAGGATGCATCTAGGACCACAGCAGGACCCTGATGGGAAACAGCAGCCTGACTGTGTCCTCTGGAGAGAGCGGTCATCCAGCTGGTTTGCCGTAAGCACAGACTTCCAGGGTGGGCTGCTGGGATCCTGGCTCGGCATTGCAGAGCAGAGCCCATGGTCCGAAAATAAAGATGGGTTTTGCTAGAAGAGCTTTCAGGGGGGATGCCATGAGCTGCAGCTGCAGTCTACAGAAGGGAAACTGAGGCACGGGGCTTGCAGGCATGCTGGTGCCCCTGGGTCAGGGCTGGAGAGGGAGCAAGCAGATGACAAGAGAGCCAAGGGGAGCAGGGTCAGGGAGGAGAGAGTAGGGAAGGGAGAGGGAGAGGGAGAGGGAGAGGGAGAGGACATGGCCAGCAGGGAGGGGAGGCTGTGCAACGCATGTTCCTCCTAATGACTATGTTCCTCCTAATGACTATTTCAGCCTTCAGCCGGCAGACGAAGGCCAGAACCTGGTTAATGAGCCTCCCAGCTAAATTATTCAAGCAGACCCTCTGCAGCAAAACAGAGTGGCTGATCGCAAGCCCAGAGACAAGGGCCTGATCCCTGCTACAGCTCCATCCTCCTCCTCTTCACCAGCTCCTTAACCCTTTCCCTGCCCCACAGCCGCCCCCGGGGTGAGGCGAGAGCAAACCGCAGGGCAGCATCGCTCTTTGCAGGGAGCAATGGCGGTGGTTCGGGGGTCCAGGGAGATGTTTCGGAGGGCTCGGAGGGGTCGAAGGGATGCAGAGGATTTAGGGACAGCCTTTGGGGTGGGAGCGACCGCGTGGTGGCAGTGTGGGCTCACAGCACCCGCCTGGCACCCGGCAAACCAGGCTGGGGGCTGGAAGTATTGCATGGGGTGGTGGGAGGATGCTGGGGATGCTACCGTGGGCCTCTCGCCCACTCGCTGCTTGTGCTCGGCTGTCCTGCATGACACCAGGACCGGGAAGCCGCGTAGAGGCAGCCAAGGCTTTGCCGAGCGTCTCTGAAGTCCTGCACAGTCCCTGCCCGACGAGGAGGCTCTGCTCCACAGCCCCAGATTCTGCGCTGCCACTGAGCCGCAATTAGTCCATCCGAGGATAATTTATCTCCATTTTTTTCCAGTATTATACCAGATCTGGCTCTTGGTGATCTGTGCTAATTCCACCACTGAGGAGGCTGGGGTGGGCTTGTGCCTCCATGTTTCCTTTGCTGGGAGAAGGGGGGCTGCCCAGACTGCCTCCCACTTCCATCACCACTCTGCAGAAGCCTTTGAAGATAGCCCATTTTCACAACCTTGAATGTCCTGAAGATCCTTTTCTCTGCTCCAAGATCAGGACACCAAATGCAGCCCTTAGCCTCTGTGCCTACAGCATCCTCCACTTTTCATCCTCTGGTGCGTTTTAGCAAGCCAGAGGTGGAAGGAAAGCCTGGGGAAGGGAGAAAAAATGACCTTTGTATCTCTGCCACCCTGATGCCCATGCAGCATCCTCAGCCTGCTGCAGCCTCGCCCCAGCCATCACCCTTTCTTTCTGGGCAGGGACAAGCTGTCTCATGGGGGCACTCCTGCCACCTCCATCTGTCCAAAGAGCCATCAGTCCCAGAGACACAGGCATTTTGTGAGGGGGATGTCACACAACTGCCCCACTTTCCACCTTGATGGGCAGAAAGTCCACCCCACGGCAGAGCACAAGGCCAGCGCATTGTGCCACTCGGGGCTGTGACCACGGCACCATGCAAGTGACCGTGACCATGACCGCAAGGCTCCACGACCGAGAGGGCTGCAAGACCCTTCTCAGCTGCCACGGTGCCTCGGGAGGGCTGTCTTTGCCCATCCTGCCATGGTGTCTTTTCCAAGCTGGTGGCAGGGTCCCCATCTCCCTGCGAGAGACAGTGGCTTGCAACCCTGTTCCTCTCCCCTCCTCTCCCAGGAAAGGTGCTCGCCGGCACAGCTCATCCTGCCCATCAAAGGCTCTTAAAGAGAGCAAATAGAATTGCAGGCTCCAATCGATCCGGCGCTCCATAATGCTGTCTTTGGAGCTGGGCCAGCCTGTCCGGCCGATGGAGAGAGCAAGAAAGGCAGTGGAGGAAAACAAAGCCATTGAGGGAACATTAAAGCCTTTTTCTTCCCTGAGCCTTTGGGCAGTGCCTCTGGGTGTGGGGTGTCCCCCTCCACTGGCTGATGTCCAGGTCTCAGCCCCTGCTCAGTGCCAAAAACAGTCCAAGCAACATGTTGCTCCTGTACAGGCACTTCTCCCTGGGCTCCTGCATGCAGACTCCCTAATCCTGGCAAATATTTACTTCCCTGTCACCTCATGGAGCTGCTGAACTCTGTTAAAGGCAGAGCTCCTTTCCTTTTGCTGCAAACAGCAACTGCCCTCTCTAATCTGTCTATTAACCTCTCGCATGGCAGGAAGCCACTTCTCCCACGCGCTCTGCTGATGTCCTTTCTGCAAACCCAGGGTGTTTAATGCCCAGCCATGGCAGCTTCCCAGCAGCTTGGGCTGCAACCAGCCTTGCTGCAAAAGCTTGGGACAAAGGGATGAAAGGCTGCACCAGAGCCAGGCACATCCCACCTGGGCATGCTCCTCACAAGCTGTTCAATGCTCCAGCAAAATTTGGAGCTGTGACAAGCAGCGAAAGCTGGTGCCACAGTCATTGTCTCTGCAGACCTCACAGAAGACCAGTGGCAGGGATGGGGTTGGCTTTCCCATCACATGGTGCCCCAGACTTTGCATCCATTTGACCACTGTCTCTCTGGCTTGTTGGAAATAGCTGTCACTTGACCAGCTCCAGCATCTCTGCCCAGCTGGGAAGAGCACAAGTGGTCCTGAAGGATGAAACAGCTCTGGATGCATCAGCACAGACATGGATTTTTGTCTCCCTCCTCATCTCTAAAACCCAGTTGTCCTTGTACCCCGAGTCCCACTGTGCAGGGGGAAAGTGTGACCAATCCATTTTAGAAACCACTAAAAATGATCTACAATACCTTTTGCTAGCCCTGCTAGGTCATGAGATAATGGACATTAAAATCGTGGCATTTTTATATATAGAAAAGTTATTTTAGGTCATTTTTAGAGGTTTCTGAAGTGGATCAGTTATAATTTTCCTCTCCTGCTGAGGGCTGAACGTACTAAAGATGCCTTGTTCCACAGGTGGAGGGATACAAAAAATAGTACCAATAAAAGTTTTAAGAGACCGCTCAAACACTTCTGTAGGAGATATTTCTTCTGGTGCACTCTGAGAGCATTCAGGCGCTGCGCTGCTGGGGGATACC